CAGAAGCCCACCTCCTGTCCCCTTCCATATATCACCTGCCCTCACAAATAATCCTTTAAAAATCCTGATCTCTGCCTTGCTCCCTTGCTTTGTTAAAATCTTTCAAGTTCTTTCCACAGCATAAAATTCCATCTCCTTGGCCAAACAGAACCCTAGTAATTCCTAACCTACTGTTCTAGTCCTCACTGCCTGGCCTTTGCATATGCTACTCCTTTAAGCCCTTTCCTCCCCCATTTCAACCTTTCCTAATTATTCCTGGAGCTATCTTTTCAAAGCCCTCCATGATCCCTTCCTTCTCCCTGGTCTGTTTCTCTTATAAATTCTTGAAGGTAGAAGTAGTGTTTTTCATCCCAGTTTCCCAGTTGGTTAAATAAGAACACCTGGCATTATTACTTTCCCATAACACCTTTCCTCCCTAATCCTCTTCCTCTCCATTCATTTCAAATGAAAACAAACCATTGCCCTGTGCATAAATCAACGTGGAAGATCTTCAGTCAGAACAGTCATGCACCCCTTACGTGATTTTGTCCTTGTTTGAACATCTTCAGAGAAAACACATCTTGTGTACTTACACAAACCAAGCCAGTATAGTCTATTGTTCTAGGCTATAAGCCAATACAGCATGCTTCTGTACAAAACAACATGAGATTAAATCAAACACAAGAGAAATGACACACTCGGGAGACAAGGTAAAGATGAGATTGGTGAGGCTGCTGCCCATGATACACTGCACGCTATTTACACAAACATTAAAAAAAAATTAATAGAAAGAGTACACTCTGAAATAAGAAGTATCAAATGGAAAATGCATACACTAGTAACATAATCATTTATTATCATTATCAAGTATTATGTACTGCTCATGATTAGGTGTGTTATCCTATATAATAAAAGCCTAATATCCAAATATACAGAATAGCGGAATGACCAGTTGCTATAATGCGCACTGACCACCAGGGGGGCAGATGTTCAATGCAGGAGCTGTCCCCTGGTGGTCAGTGCCAACCTACAGCAGGAGAGCCGCTCAGCTAGAAGCCAGGCTCACGGCTGGAGAGCACAGTGGTGGCAGTGGGAGCCTCTCCTGCCTCCACTGTAGGCAGGCGGTAAGAAGCGAGGGGTCTGAGACTATGAGAGCCCTGGACTGCGAGAGGGATGTCTGACTTCTGGCGTAGACCTGGCAGGTGGACATCCCCCGAGGGGTCCGGACTGCGAGAGGGTGCAGGCCAGGCTGAGGGACCCCTCCCCTCCCGAGTGCACAAATTTCATGTACTGTGCTGTGGGGGGCTGTTTCTCTGTTTTCCGCGACCCGCACGGAAAACCACAGGTTCCTGAGTGGAGGAGCTGGGGATTAAGAAATTAAAGAAAAAAAGAGACCAAGACACAAAAATGGATTCAAGCTGGGACCCAGGTGGGGGCTGTCACTCAGATAGAGAGACAGTCACCACCCACCACAGACAACACAGCACATTTATTTATTTCCAAAAGAATAAAGGGAGGTTTCCCTGAAAAGCTTAGAATCAAAGGAGTTTTGGATGGGCCCAGGTCCTATTCATTCCCTCATTGCTGGGATTTATTAATAGCATATCAAGACCTGGGTAAGTCAAGGTCCTATTCATTCCTCATTCCAAGCACATGGATAAAGATAAATCAGTACTGATAACAGTCTCCCACATTTTAGGGAAACAAGTTCCCAGGACGTGGCTCTGCCTAAGCCTGGAGTTCAGCTGATGATAATTAAAGGTCATCCATGTGCATTCCCTGGGGGCCTTCTATACTGTGCCTCTAGTACCTTTATATACGGTAACTGGTGGTACAGGTTTGTTTACACCGGTATCACCACAAAGGTAATGCATTGTGCTATATGTCCTATATGATCTTTTGATAGCTACAAAGTCACTAAGCAATAGGAATTTTTCAGCTGTTATAACCTTATAGGACCACGGCTATACTAGTATTACAATCTGTCATTGACTGAAAAGCCCTTATGTGGTGCATGACTAGTTTGTAGAAAAGTCATGACTGGTTTTCTCTGACCCAGCCATATCTTCCTGCTACGTATATCCCCCCCTCACCCCCCCAAATCCACCCATAGACACCAAGATAAGACTAAAGTAGGGGCAATTTGTGGTCTTGCACCCAACCAAGGTAAGTAAACACAATGGAAATTGACATTCATGGGATCTGAGCCATTCTGATGGTTTAATTGGAATATCTGGAGAACTTAAGGGAAAACATGGAGGAGGGGGAGGAAGCAAGCAAATTAACATTTCCAAATGCCTACCTACCATGCACCGGACACAAATCTATCTATAATGTCTTACTTTACTAACATGGGGAAGGAAGGTGCATAAATGTTTAGATTAATGAACTGCATAAAAAGAAAAGCCAATGTGTCCTTTCTTCATTTGGTTGAAAAAAAGTTATTTATGCATTTATAGCTTTTTCTTTTTAATTAAAAATAACAGTAGAGAATCACTGAAGTTCCTGGTTTCAATGACAATTTGCTTATAAGAAGCTTGAAAATGATTCTGTGAAATAAAAAATAGACACATTAGGAAAAGGGTGTTAGTGTGTAGAAGAAAGTGGTACTAGGTTGATGGGTATACTAGTAGTCAGAGCACTTCACATCGGCTCCCAAACGGTTACTGCAGGCTGGCAGGCAGGGCCACCTGAAACCATTTTTATAGAAGCATTTACAATCTGGAGTTGTTGTTTTAGATTTTTAGCGAGAGAAGAAGAGAGAGAAACATTAGGAGTGAAACATGGATCAGCTGCCTCCTGCACACCCCGCACCAAAGATGGAGCCCACAGCTTGGCGTGTGCTCTGACTGGGAATCGAACCTGAAACCCTTCGGTGCAGGGGAGGATGCCCAGCCAACTAAGCCACACTGGCCAAGGCTTGACTTGATTTTTAATGAAAAAGTTCTTCACACACACACACAAAAAAAAAAATAATCCACACAGCAAACCCAAGTTTATTTTCTGTGTGCATAACATTAAACACATCTGACAAATTGGCCTCATTCCCAGAAAATCTATTTCCCCCACAACGTTCTGTAACTTACATGACACTGGGCTGGGCCATCACCGATGCACAGCTGTGTATGATCTACTAAAAGTTTTCTCAAAACTGCCTCCTCTCAAGTCCTCAGCTCATCCACAGCCTATTTAAAATGTTGCTGAATAAACGTTTAATTACATAAAAAAAGCTAAAACCCAGAAATTCACATTTAAGCCATAGGAGAAAAGTTTCCTCAAGCAACTGTAGAAATCGAAGCCGGATTGTTGCCTTCTGAATAAACCTGACCAGAACCTAGTGCTTGGTGACATATTATTTCTCTTAGTCATCCTTTTATAGGCCAGAGTGTTTTGCATAATCTTAAATGCAGGAATTGTTTCTTTAGTGCTTAGTAAAATTACTGGTGATATACATTCATTTATGTCACTGAATGGGCAGATAACTGCCTGAGAACAAAGACCTCCAGAGTCTTATCTTTATCTTTGGTTTAGTGAGTCTCCTAGCTGTGAGCCGAAACCGGTTTGGCTCAGTGGATAGAGCGTCAGCCTGCGGACTGAAAGGTCCCAGGTTCGATTCCCGTCAAGGGCCTGTATCTTGGTTGCAGGCACATTCCCAGTAGGGGGTGTGCAAGAGGCGGCTGATCGATGATTCTCTCTCATCGATGTTTCTAACTTTCTGTCCCTCTCTCTTCCTCTCTGTAAAAAATCAATAAAATATATTAAAAAAAAATACTGTGAGCCGAAACAGGTTTGGCTCAGTGGATAGAGCGTCAGCCTGCAGACTGAAAGGTCCCGGGTTTAATTACCATCAGGGGCATGTACCTGGGTTGCAGGCACATCCCAGTAGGAGGAGTGCAAGAGGCAGCTGATCGATGATTCTCTCTCATGTTTCTAACTCTCCCTCTCCTTTCCTCTCTGTAAAAAAATCAATTTATACATATATATATTTTTATTATATTTATTTATTTATTTATTTATTTATTTATTTATTTATTTATTTATTTATTTTTTAAAGAATGCTGTGAGCTGGGCAGTGTGAAGTGTTCGGTGGGGAGCAAAAGAGAGAACGTTCCAATAGTTCAGAAAACCTTTTATTCTTCTCTACCCTCAGCCTGAGGCAGTAGGCAAAGGGGGGCGGGGGGAGGGAGGGTTCTTACGACCGTAGGGTTTAACCTTAAAACTTGGTTCCGCTAAATGCAAAACCTCTGCAAGACTTCTGGCCTGTCTCAGTGGGTCACAAGGTCAGGGTCGCCCACGACTGCGGGGATCTGGATGGGGCTCGCTCTCTCCGGCAGGCGTCGCTGGCCACAGCGGAGCCGCGAGGAAGGAAGTGGACTCTGATCTTCGGTTCAGCCAGGAGGCTCGGCATCCCAGGCTCGTCCGTCCGCCGGTACCTGCGCCCGCCCTCGCGCCGCGGCGACTTTTGGAGAGACTCCGGTCCCCGGCGCGCACCGGGGCGGGAGCCGGGGCCTCGCTCCAGGGCGCGGGCTCGGGCCATTGAAAGGTGGAGCGCAGGGGCGGCTCTGGAAGGGCCGGGCGGGCCGGGCGCCAGGCTGGAGCGGGGCGCAGGGCTGGCGCTGAAAGGCCTGGGACCCCGGGGGGCGGGCTCCGGAGTAACGGGCGGGGATGAGCCTGCGGGGCACAGCCGGGAGTCCGGGAGCTGCGGAGGGGGAAGAGACTGGGTGGAGGTGCAGCAGGAAACGCCCGGGGCCTGGCCGGGCCGGTCGGGCTGGGGGCGCCGCGGAGGGGAGGGACGGGGCGGCGCCCCGCTGGCCTGCCGCGCTCGCTCACCTCGCCCTGGCGGCGCGCCCCGCGGGCGGCTGCGGGGAGGGGAGCAGGATCTGCGGACCTGGGGATCCGGGACCGCCCTCTCGGGGCTGAGGGCCGGTGGCGGCGAGCGGCAGCGACGGCTGGAGCCGCAGCGGCAGTATGAGAGCGGGCGCCGCTGCCCCACGCCCGCGGCGGCTCCGGGTGCGCGCGCCATGGGGGAGCCGGGGGGCCCCGCGGGCGGCGCGCGGCGCGGCCGACGCGGGGTGCGGGGGCTGCCGCGGGCCGCCTCGGCGCTGGGGGCCACCGGCCTGCTGTGCACCGCGCTGGCCGCCTACGCCTGCTGGGGGCAGCTGCCGCCGCTGCCCTGGGCCGCCCCGACCCCGCCGCGGGCGGTGGGCGTGCTGCTGTGGTGGGAGCCCTTCGCGGGGCCCCGCAGCGCCACCCGGCCGCCCCCCGACTGCTGGCTGCGCTTCAACATCAGCGGCTGCCGCCTGCTCACCGACCGGGCCGCCTACTGGGAAGCCCAGGCTGTGCTTTTCCACCACCGGGACCTGGTGAAGGGGCCCCTGGACTGGCCCCCGCCGCCCTGGGGCGCCCGGGTGCGCTCAGCGGAGGAGCTGGCGCTGCGGGTGTTGAACGAGGAGGCGGAGGAGGAAACCGTGGACGCCTCGGGCCACAGGCCCCCGGGCCAGCGCTGGGTGTGGATGAACTTCGAGTCGCCCTCGCACTCCCCGGGGCTGCGGAGCCTGGCAGGGAACCTCTTCAACTGGACGCTGTCCTACCGGGCCGACTCGGACATCTTCGTGCCTTACGGCTACCTCTACCCCAGGACGCATCCCAGCGACCAGCCGCCCGGCCCGGCCCCCACGCTGGCCCGGAAGCGGGGGCTGGTAGCCTGGGTGGTGAGCAACTGGGACGAGCGCCAGGCGCGGGTGCGCTACTTCCACCAGCTGAGCCAGCACGTGCCCGTGGACGTGTTCGGTAAAGGTGGGAGCCGGCGGCCGGTGCCCGACGCCGGGCTTCTGCACACGGTGGCCCGTTACAAGTTCTACCTGGCCTTCGAGAACTCGCAGCACCTGGACTACATCACGGAGAAGCTCTGGCGCAACTCGCTGCTGGCCGGCACCGTGCCGGTGGTGCTGGGCCCCGACCGTGCAAACTACGAGCGCTTTCTGCCCCGCGGTGCCTTCATCCACGTGGACGACTTCCCCAGTGCCTCCTCCCTGGCCGCCTACCTGCTCTTCCTGGACCGAAACCCGGCCGCCTACCGCCGCTACTTCCACTGGCGACGGCGCTACGCCGTGCACATCACCTCCTTCTGGGACGAGCCCTGGTGCCGGACCTGCGAGGCGGTGCAGAGGGCCGGCGACCGGCCCCAGAGCAAACGCAACCTGGCCCGCTGGTTTGAGCGGTGAAGCCACCCAGGGAGGTCTTTCAAGTCGTCAGCTTTTTGATCCTTTATTGTGCATCTCCTTGAATTGCCAAATCCTGGGATGAAGGTTTTGCTTGTGGGAACAATGTGATGTGCCAGTGTTATTCAGCACAAACGCTGGGTGGGTAGGATCCCGGTTCAGTTCTTTATGGGTTTTGTTGTTTTTTTTTGTTTGTTTGTTTGTTTTTTTTGCGCGAGGAGGAGTTGGGCTCTCTGCTATTGATGAGCATCGGAGAAATTACCTTTCTCCCCTGCTAATTAACCAGTGCAGAGGTGAAGAAGTAGCTGCACTATAAGAAGCCATTGAGTCCGTTGCTCCGAGTTTCCTCGCCTGCCACAGGTCATGTTTGTGGCCTGTGCTGAGTCCAAATGTCACACACACTGCTGCTCGTTTCACATTTCATTGGACTAAGATGCAGCAGACCCCTGGTTTTAGAAAGATCCTTGTTGTGGGATAGTGGAAGGACCGTGGCTGTGGCCACAAGGAAGTCTTTCTCTTTGTCAGTTGAATTCCTCAAATCCTCAGCTCCTGTGAAAGGTGAGGAGGGTCATCCAAGAATCCGTTGACTGTTTCTTAACAAGTACTGTTTGTTCCCTTGCCAGTGAACGGAAACAAGATGCTGCATTGTCCTTGGAGAAGAGTTCAGGTGAATATATAAGTGTACCTCTCTTTACACAAATGTGCTCTTGAAGAGCTGCTTTCCTTTTTTTTTTTTTTTTTTTAAATCCTCACCTGAAGAAAGGTTTATTATTAATATTACTAATTTTAGAGGGAGGAAGGGAGAGAGCAAAACATCCATTGGTTGCCTCCACACTCACCCCAAATGGAGATCAAACCAAAACCCAGGGATCAAACCAAAACCCAAGGATCAAAGCAAAACCGCCAGGAATCAAACCCCCAACCCTTTGGTGTACCCACAACACTTCAACCAACTGAGCCACTCCAGCCGGGCCCAGAACGCTGCTTATCAATCACATCCCAAATTCACTGCCCCAGGGGGAGTTCTGTATTTAATACAACCTTATGGAGAATCCCTTTACCATGTGAATAATCATCCCTAACTAATGTCTTCTCTGTGTCTATGTTTTTCTATAACCTGGATTGTTTTTTAAAAAGCATATTAAATTTACAGATGTGAAAATAAAGTGGAAGCAAATTTCTTCTCCCCACTTCCCAGAAAACCAGACTGTGTTTACAAGACAGAAGAGAAGGAAGCCACCGTGTCATTTTCCACAAAATTCCTTATTTTGTGCCTTTATGGGACCTGAAATTTAAACTGGAATATTTCATTCCTCCAGGGGTGCTGGCATTACCTGCCAGCAGAACAGTGAAAGATTGAACTGCATTGTGGAACCATGCCAAAGGAAAAAAAGTTTTATGGTGTCTGTTAATGGCAGTGTTTGTTTCGATCTGTCAGTTTTTTGTTAAATGTTTAGTTGCTGGGGAATGGAGCTAAATTGATGTCTGTGATGAACTTTGTCTTTTTAAAAAAATATATTTTACTGATTTTTTTTTACAGAGAGGAAGGGAGAGGGATAGATAGTTAGAAACATCGATCAGCTGCCTCCTGCACACCTCCCACTGGGGGATGTGCCTGCAACCAAGGTACATGCCCTTGACTGGAATCGAACCTGAGACCTTTCAGTCTGCAGACTGCTGCTCTATCCATTGAGCCAAAACGGTTTTGGTGAACTTTGTCTTTCGGTAAAGGCTAAACTGCAGTTCACCTTGGGGCCAGTAGGTTCCCCTCCTAGTCTGCATTGTGGTACATATATCCTCACGTTTCTAACGCCCTTGAGACTGTGTCATGGGACCAACTCTGAAAATATATGCATTGACTTTAAAAGTTGTTTGAGCAGTATATTCAATAGGTGTTACCATGTGCCTTACTCTGTGCCAAACACTGGGCTTGGGGTACCACAGGAAAAACAAAAATATGTAAGGCAAGGTTCCTCTCTTAAAGGCTCTTACAATCTGCCACTGCCAACAAGTAATCAGTGAACTTTGATAAATCAACTGGCAGAACCTATTTAGTTAAAATGATATCCTTAGTGACATGGACCATAAGTGAATTATTAGAAAGCCAATCGACTTACGGCCTGAAATAATAGTTTGTTTCTTGATTGATTTTAATGAGTACCCTCCGTGACTAATTATTATGGGTAGGGTCCAAAATTAATTAGATTTACACATGGTTCTTCTGTGAATAATTATTTTGCATTTGACTACTACAATTAGTTGAATCATAAAGTTTTATCTCTGCATTTGTTGTAGACTCACTTAAAAAAATCACTAAAATCTAAAACATGTTTCAATTCTCTTTATCCTTAAAAGGGGAAATTAAAATCCATGGGTAAGACTTCCTATTTAAAATATTATGGCCTGGGCAGAATTATAATTACAAAGTATTAACTGTCCAACAAAGAAAAAAGGAAAAATTCTATTCTTAAAATGAATATTTACGGGATACTGGCCAGTGATCTTGGTTATTAGAAATCTCCATGAGGCAGTGGGAGAGAGTTTAGGTCTTGAGGGTAACCTGGCTTAGAGTTGAATTCCAGCAGTGTGACCTTGGGCAAATTAATAAGAACCCTGAACCTCAGCACCCTTAACAGTAAAATGGAGGGGAGAAAACACTTCACAGCTCATTGTGAGCATGTCAGGAAATAAAATAGGTTTAAAGGTGGTTACTCAATTGGTGAGGAAAAAAAATATTTTTTTTCCTTCTTTCCCTGCATGGTTTCAGGGTGCCTCCATATTCATCATATACATATTAAAAATTAAATCTATATTTCAAATGAATTCTTAAAGCTAAGCCTATTATTTCAAAAATCTTTGCCATTTACTAGTAGACTGCCCTTGAATTTGCACACCACCTACGTTTTCTTTGAGAAAAAAAAAAAAGATTGTTTTTGTTTTGGTTGAGTTATATAAGTAAATATTATTTTACTAATGATCTTAGTATTGTCCATTTAAAAGTAACCACTTATTGAATATTTAACATGAGGAAGCTATAATTGCATTATTATTTATTTGAAAATTTGGGGTGTGAAATGAAGAATATTTTAAAAGGCTAATCTCATCAAAGAGCAAGACAAATGTGGCAGTTGTTCATTTTATGGTATTTTTCATATTCTAAATTGAGCAGCTTAAAATTTCACAAGCACTAAATATAAAATATATATAAATTCATCATATAGATTTCAAAATATCTTTCCTGTGATTGCCATGCTCTTCCTTTAACGCACAAGCTTTTCTTTACAACTTATTACAAACTGAGTATTTTTAGCACTTGATGACTCTAATTACATGAGTGCATCTGGAATGAATTTGCCTCAGGAAAGACAGTCTGACTGGTGTTCAGTATTCACAGATCCTTCCCAGCATCCAAGCCCTCCCCTGGCGGTAATTTAGAGAGAGGGAGGCTTCATGGAAAGAGCATGCAATTTAGAGCCAGAACCTGGGTAAGTGGTTCTGCCACATTCTATCCCTAAATAAATCCTGAGTTTTGGCTTCCTCTTTTATAATGCAGGAATGCCCCTACAAGACAAGGACTAAATGTGATGCTGCATGCCAGGGTGCTTTGTACATTGTAAGTTATTATACAGTTACAGGATGTTCTACATTTTCAAGGCTCTGGAGGAGGGGTTGGCATACTTTTCCTATTAAGGACCCGAGAGTGAATGTCTCAGGCTTTGCAGAACCACGCAGTGTCACCTCCCGTGGTAGGGCACAAGCAGCCGTTGTCAATACATAAACAAATGGCGTGCCTGGGTTTGGCCGCACTCAGTTTGTCAACTCTGCTCTAGACTTTTAGAGGTAGACGGGATTTGAGAACCTACCTGATGGGGTTTTCTTAGAATGGACTTAGGAATTGTAACTTAAAAATTTTAAGGGCAGATATTCCTTGGTTCCTAGACCAGCTTTGCAGCATTTGCTAATCTATAATAATAATAATAAAAGGGTAATGTACTCATTAGACCGGATGTCATTCATGACAAAGGTGGGGCCGGGTGCCAGATGGAAGCCAGTGCCGGCAGCTGGGGGAGGGCCTACTCTTGCACAAATTTCATACGTTGGGCCTCTAGTTGTCTTATATTGGACAAATTATTTAAGCTTTCTGTGTTTTCATATTTTCATACCTAATTGAGGGTAAGCATATGTAATTTATGGAGGTGCTGGGAGAATTAGATAAGAACTTACAGCACTCAGAACAGTGTGTCACACATGGGAAGCACCTGGAAGATAGCTGTGATGTCCATTTAGTAGTGGCAGAACCAGCCTTGCTTGTGCAAGTCACAACTGCCTGGAGCCTCTGTCACTTGAACTGCAAAATGAGAGGGTTGTACAAGATCTCCTCTTGGGACCTCTAGTTCTCTTGCCATCATTCTACTAACCGGCACCTTGGGACGTTAAGAACTAATCCTCCTCCCCACGTGCCTTCCTTACAGTCTGGAAATGACTTACTACGCAGCAGCCATAAACTGGCAGAAAACCAGGCACCAGAGAGGGACACTGATGCAGTGTCACCCGCTTTAGATGGCAGGGAAGGGAGCCAGGTCCTTAGCAATTAGTCTGGTGAATAATTGCATTGAAGCCATTTCAAGTCATTCTTGGATGTGTCTCAGGGACTTTTATGCTACAGATTCTGATAACAAATCAATAATTTCTGTATACGTGTTCAAGTTATTTTGACAAAATAATTAAAGTAATGAAATGAAAAATGAGTCTTTGTTTATAATGTGTATCCCCAGGCACTAAGGTGGGATTTACTTGTCCAAAGGGTTTCATGTAAGTTCATTGGTTCTAGGTGGGTCACTGAAATGCAAAGGCTTTGCCTCCTCTGAGTTGTACCTGGGCCTCTTGTCTTTCTTGCTCATCTCTCCAAGGGCGTAAGCAGTAGACTCCTTTCTCTCATTCCATTTTATTTACTAAGTACTCAGATGCCCTCTCTACTTCCTGTTCATTAAATTTTAAAATTG